TGCATACATGCTATAGTATTTAAAAATTAGTGTCTTTATATCTTGAGACAGAAAAGCTGAGAGATAAAAAAGCTGTCTTCTTGACCTTGTAATAATGATTCTTTTATTCTGAACATAGATGGTCTATTACTTTGAAAGTAAAATAAACTTGTAGACCAAAAAACAAATTCCATCAGGTCACTTTGTCTATTCCTTTTTGATCCAGAAAGGCTAAATATTGACATACCTTGTTGAAATTGCTCTGCTATTCTGAAAACTGTCTTGAATCCAATCTCCTCTTCTGGGAAAATAGGAGAAGAGAGAAAACCTGAGGGGTGTAGGTGATAGAGCACCTATAGCCGTTTTTCTACACTTGATATCTGAGAATGGAGTCAAAACTGAAGAATCCAAAGGGAGCAGAAGAAAGTGGGCTCTAGGGTGGCCTTTAAATCATGAATCAAAAGATGCCTAAAATGGGAATCCACAGCCTCCATTTATTGTGAACCAGTAAACTCTGTTTGGGATAAATTTCCCAGAATTTACAACAGAATTCCTATCTGATACAGAAAGGATCCCTACTTTCTAGCTCAGGTAAGGACATCATAAATGAGGTATAAGGTTCAATAATTTTTGAAGATTCTGAAAATCTGAGATTTCCCTGTTTGTCCCATCTCTCCCAGTTAATGCAGCAAGACAGGATCATGGATGGCTCTCCTTCCCAGGTTGACTATTTTAAACTCTGGTTATTTATAGGGCCCTAATTAGAAATCATTACAAACAGGGGCGCCTGGGTGGCTTAGTCGGTTAAGCGTCTGACTTTCGCTTAGGTCATGACCTCGCGGTTCGTGGGTTCGAGCCCCGCGTCGGACTCTGTGCTGACTGCCAGCTCAGAGCCTGGAGCCTGTTTCGGAGTCTGTGTCTCCCTCTCTCTCTAACCCTCCCCTGCTCACGCTGTCTTTCTCTCTCCTAGAAATAAATAAAAAACATTAAAAAAAAAAAGAAATCATTACAAACGTAACATCTATTTATTGATTTGCTAAAACACTGATATTGCCTATCCATAAGAATAGTTTGCACTTCATTTCTAAAACAGTTGCTACTGCCAGGAAGCCATGGAAAGCAAACCCAGACTCATGAGGACCCTCATGATTTCAGAAGGCAGGCCACCATGAAATATTCTAATTATCCAGTCTTTTCCCATTATAATCTAAAACGAGCCCCTACTCCTTAGGGGTCAAAGTATCTCATCCATCCCAGCCCTTGACAGGTATTTAATGTCTCAAGTTACATGTTGATTTTACATTCTCCTCCATAATATATCTGTTTGCATATATAAAAAGCAAAAACAAACAAAAAGCCAGGAGGAAAAAGGAGGAGAGTTTAGCAGTCTGCCTAGTTAGGCAGGCTCAGGACTGACATCAAGTCAGATAGCACAGACAGACCTAAAAGGTGAAAAGGGTTGGAAGACAGTTTGGAAGGTCTTGGAGAGATCTGTTTTACGATGCGACAGCACGGAGAAGAAGATAACTTTTGGTTTTTGCCAACAACATAGATGGGAATTGAGTTGCCAAAGGCAATAAGCCAGTTCAGATGCATTTTGTCCAGGACAAGACAGGGCTCAGCAGCAGAGTTTCTCTAGATTTCTTGGCCGGAAAACTTTATACCATTCCACGTATTCCAAGTATGGTATGTGTCTGCTGGGGGCAGGGTGTTGGTCATATGATTCTTTATGACATTGCTTTTGTCTGTGTTCTTCTTTATGGACTGAAGCTGCTCATGGCCTCACTGGGGGTCCTCCTTCAGTACATATTCTGGTTCTCCCTATGAGTTGCTGCACAGACTGCTGGAGTGCCCTATTATGGTTTGGTGTTGGTGTTTTAGACAAAACAGGAAAGAGTGAAGATACCATTTTTATCCTGATCATCTTCCCTGCAGCCCTGCAGCTATCTGTGCCCTTCTTGGATTAAACTTGTGACCTCCAAGGAGCTGTTCTTATGACCCTTCTGAGAAGTCCATTTTTGTTGTTATTCTGAAATTAGCCAACTCCAGCATATTATGGTGTTTGTGTGCATAAGGAAACGCTGGAATGGAAGTTATAGTTGCCATGGACCAGCATGTCCTGGATGCAATAATGCAAAGAGTAGTTCTGGCAGTTCAGAATTGGCAATCAAGATAGAAATCATGTTATCATAGGATGTGAAGAAGTGTTTTATTTGTTGGGCCACAGCCAGCTAGTCTCCATTTCACTAACAATAAAAGGCACATACAGATCTGGAAGACCTTTAAATAGTGCTTGCCAAAATCAGTTGTCATTTGAGTGGATTTCTCTGGAGTAGGGGTTGAGAGGCTGAAAGACTGAGAAATTGATATGGAAGGCCAGAATAATGTATATGATGGAAAATAGATACTTTAGTGTGTGTGGAGGGGAAATTTACCCTAAGGTCTCAAGTGCTGATAAAACTTCCATACTAGAGTGAAAGCTGCTTCTTTTCAGGATAGTGTCTTGAATATCCATCTTCCTTTCACATACTACTTTCCCTTAGTTGACCTGCAGGTAATGTTTGCTGAAATAAATCTAAGATAATGAACATATAAAGTACATATCAACCTAGGACTATTTATATCTGTTCTGCTAGAATAATTGTCTTTACTTTTATTTTCAAATACATATTAAATAACTAAGACAGGAAGTAATGTGAGGTTCTCTAGTTTATGCAAATAAGAGATTTATTTTGTCTAGCATGTATTTGGCTTCCAGTAATTCTGACAAAAATTGTAAAGCAAAACTAACTCTTACATATTTGCCAAGCTGGTGATGTGGACACTTCTGTAGTATAATTGTTTTCTATTGCCATATAGAAAAATTACCATAGAATTAGCAACATAAAACAATACACATTTATTGTCTTATTGTTCCTGTGAGTCAAGGATTTGGGCAAAGGCTAAACTGGTCCTCTGTATAAGAGGCCCATAAGCTTCAGTCAATGTGTTGGTCAGGTTGGGGTCTTATTCAAGGTTCAACTGGGAAGGACCTGCTCCCAAGCTGAGGTGGTTGCTGGTAAAATTTAGTTTCTTACAGTTGTAGAAGGGAGGGCTTCAATATTTGCTGGCTGTCAGCTAGAGGTCACCCTTAGTTCCTTACTGGTTGTTGGCTGGAGACTACCCCCAGTGCCACGTCACATGGACCTTCTCCAAATTGCTTCATGCCTTATCAAAGTCAGCAAGACAGAGAGAGTTTCCTTGCAAGATGTAGCTCACAATCTTATGTAACCCAATCACAGAACTGATGTTTTATCACTGTATTGTACTGATTATTCTGTTGGTTCAAAATAAATCATAGATCCTATCTATATACACTTAAGGAGAGGGGATCATGAAAAGCCATGAACACTGGGAGAGGGATGATGAGGACTATGTTAGAGTCTGTTCACCACATATAGAAAGACAGAAAACACAATTCATGTCACTTTTATAATTCCATCAGTAGTAAAGCCTCATTGACAATTTTTAATTTAGGGTGACTGACACAAATATTTCAGACATTAGAAAATCAGTAGCAAAAGCTTTTGTCCTGTTTTTATTTCACTTAGTTACACAACAATTAATTTTCCCTCAGAATTCTGAAAGTTATCTTACTGGATGATTTTTGCATTATATTTTTAAAAATAATTGTTATTAGTAGGTTAACTATAAAGCAGAATGCTTATTAAATAAGACCTTAGTTTTGTTTCTTTCCAAAACGTAACCATAGCCAAGGAAATTAGCTTTTCTTAAACTCAAAATTCAGTCTTTTCAAGTCCTTTAAAACTTCATATTTTTCCTATATGAATTAGGTTCCAATTGGTGTTGTCATTTTACAAATGTGTAAATCAAGGCACACACTTGGGCAGAGTTAATCAGAAGCAAAGAGTTTAGACACCAGAGAGCTGATATCCTCTTTTCCCACTAAACCATGCTTTTTTTTCAAATGTATTAGGTCAGTCTATGATTGTTTGGTAAATATATCACCTTGACTTTATCATATCTGTCTATTCCTCTGTTCTTGTCTTTGCCCTGTGGTTCTCTCTTGTTTTTCATTTCCTTTTCCAGTGATTATTTTCAAAACCCATCTCTGCCTACCATTTTCTGTCCTACTCTTGATAAAATTTTTCTCTTTCCCATATTATGCATATAGATGTTTACTTTTGTGGAGTCATTAACTACTTGATAGCTTGCCCCTCTGGAACACTGAGGTGAATTAATTAAGATATTTCCTGTGAGATTTGGTCAGTTTTTCCTTGACTTGAATTCATATAATCTGTACATGACTTACCATCCTCTCTGTCATTATTTGTAGCCCTGAAATAAAGATTTCTCAGAAGATTAAAGAAATTTGGGAATATGCTCTACACTGTCCAAATGAGACTCCCTCAGGGTTGATTCACTTAAGACATTTTAGTGGAGCAGAAAGTAATTTTAATTAAAATCTTCTAAGGCTTATAAAAGCAGGTTGAATCTTTTTTTCAAGGGAAAAAAGTATATAAGCTTTTTCCTCCTTGACATACGGACTGCAAATAAAAAGAAACAGATGTAAGTATTCTTCTCCATCATTAATCTTGGAGATCTAAGTATATCTTTTATTTTTTTGAAGATGAAGCAAAAAAATGCAATAAAAATTAATGCATCAAAACCATTATCAATGAATAAAAATCTGTCATTTATATGTTCCAAAAGCAGAATACCTTGGTAAAATTATGCTTGGATCTCTCTGAAATTGCTGAAATCAGGCCATTTAGAGTTGATGAAATCAGGTCTCATTACCTAGTTGTTTTCAGAGGTCAAAGTATTTCTTGACATTGGAGCCACAATATACAACTTTCTTTGAACAAACAAATATCCACTACATGTGTGAAACAACTAGATGATACACACAAACTTGAAAGTTTCAGACCTTTCCTTTCTATCACCCAGATGACAGTGCTGCTGTTTTAAGAACTTGGATTAAAGAAATATAGGTTTGAAATCAAGAGACTAGAACTCACCTGGTGTAGGTGCCATTGTTGTGGCATAGATGATGAGCACACCATGGGACACGGCAGTTTTCAATGTTCTTTCCACGCAGTGCTTCATCAATGATGAAGAATTCTTTGTTGTTTACTTGAAGCTCTTGAATGCAACCATTGAACCCATGGATGTGACCTGCATTCTTATGGAACTTAACATCTGCTGGGATATGGCCAAGGAACATTGACTCAAAATGAAACTATAAGAAAAATAAAAACAAAAAAAATCTTATCAGGTGTTGTCAGATTATACAAGAAAGACCTAAAATGTTTTGTTCTATAAGGCAGGTTTCAATGTATTTTTCTGTGTAAAATAGGTTGCAGTTGTTGCTTAGTTTTGTCACCTCTACTAGGTGGTAGGATAAATTACCTTAGGAAAGGGCCCTTATTTTATATTTTTTTGCATCTCTCAATATATAATGAAATCTTAATTTTTTAAAAAAGGACATTCAATAAAACTTATTGATTGATTACTCTGAAATGTATTTTGGAACTCAAGTGTTTGAATCTTAATGTGAATATTAATAAATAATAACTGATAAGGAAAACAGAACCTTATTAATTAACTATTGTTAGGGATTGAATTGTGTTTCCCCCAAATTTGTATGTGGAAGTTCTAACCCTCAGTAGCTTAGAATGCAACCTTATTTGGAAACAGAGCTTATACTCACTGACCAGAATGATAATAACATCACTGGCACAATAAACTGTTACTTAATCTCTCTTCCCACCCTTCAGTAACATATAAATTGAATTCTCATCATTAATATGCATATAAAAAGTAGCTTCTCCAAACAGGAATTTATGAGCTACACGTGAATTCTGGATGAAGTGGTAACGAGACCCTGATCTTCAGGGCTGGTGGCATATGAAAGGTGCCTATAGCAGCATTTGTACAGTTTATGTCTTCTATGTCCTTATCCCCAAAACACATTCATACACTCCAAACTGTTATCTGAAAAGTATTTAAACTGACATTACAGATCCGCTAAAATGGAAAGCTGTCATGGCAAGTTTTCTAAAACTAGAGCTAAATAATTAAGTTAGGGCTCTAGGGGGAGGAGAGAATGGGAAATGGTCAGTAATGTCACCTAATGTTTACATTAATATGCTCTGGTTTGAGCATATTATGCTTCTGTTCTCTAAAAGCACATTTGCTTTTAGAGAACAGAAGCATGTTCAATTCTAGGAACATCAAAGAATCTCCATGACCTGTAATAGATCAAACTAACTCTATTATTTGAGCTCTTGTTCGTTTTTAGTGACTCAAGTTCTGCTCCTAAAGGCATTTCCTAATTTTGAGTGTGTGTACTTCATAAAAGATTCAGATATATAGTCACCCAGAGAATGACTATCTTTGGGCATAGTCGGGTGGAAGACGCAAGGTGTATTAATAAAGCCCTCTTGCAGTACAGGAGTAGGTCTGTCTGTTTTCACATCCTTTCTCATGTGCTAAGTCTATTTATATTAGCTACTCTAACAAACTATTAGCAAAAACTCTTTTATCATTTAAGATAAGTGACTCACTGCTAATGCAATCTGGGATCTATCGTGAACTTGCAGACTCAGTGAATCCAAGGCCATGACCTTCTCTCACTGAGGATCTCTGGCATCTTTGTGTATTGATCACACACCTGGAAGAGCAAACCTTTCACAGCTTTGACAAGTGTGCTGTTTTAGCACAAAACTGATAGAGGATGGAAGAATATCCTCCTCTTCTGTCAGCAGTAGGTAGATCTGAGGGAAAGTCTATAGAGCTATCTATGATTTATTAGACCATTAAAAAACACCCAAACAATGAAAGTAGATGGCTCTTGTATTTCTTCTGATCTGAGGCGCAAGCTTAGTTAAAGTCCTGAAATGTCTAAAAAAGCTGCTGCCATTGACTGAACATAGATAACCATTAAAATGGTCGACTTCCTCTATCCCCAGACTCTTAATTATCCAGGAGCAGCCTTTTGTGTGTATAATCATTTCTAAGGAGACAGGTCTTTAAAATAAGTCTTTTCTAATAACTTCTTGTGAATCAGACTATGGAGAATAGAGTCTGACATCAAGATATGATCTTACAAGATAAAACCACAGAGAACAGACATGGATAATCAAGGAGGAATCATCAAGATAATGAAAAATATGAATGGTGGTTGAGGGAAAAGGACTCCACAAATGACAAGAGTGAAATGAGCATTCCCTTTCCTCTCCGAGTTTTCTCTTTAAAGGAAGAATATAGCTGCCCTTTTATAATGTGTATGAATAAAATAAGAAGACAGGCAAAAGGGAATAAACTTTGAAAAACCATAGAGATTGACATAGATGAGAAGCTGCTTTATCTCTTCTTTATTCTGTTTTAATTTAAATTTAGACCTTGGAGTCTATATACGTTTCTGTAATGATATCTTGATTCAACGTTAAGTTTTGTTTTACAGCTTCAAATCTGTCTGAAGTTAAATAACTTTTATGTAATAGAAAGGTAACTGTAACATAGTTTTTACTTAAGATTAACTATTAGAGTATACTTGTCTTTACTCAAGAATATGATGACTTATAACCAAAACAAACTGACTTTTGTTTGAATGTTGTTACTACACTTTTATTTTTAATATTACCTGCATTGTCTGCAGACAAATTCAAAACCAGAAACATCAAGTCTTGAAACTGGGATAAGAGATGCTGGGTAAGGTGCTTAGGAAGAAGGATTTATTTAAATTACTTCTTACATATTATTTTTTTCTATAATTTTAAATCCTTTAAAGGCATTAAATGAAAGGGGGTCAAAAGGCAGAATCAGCATTTATCTTAGAAGAGATCTCTCTCTCTCTCTCTCCCCTCCCCCTAATAGTATAATCATCTGTGGCCATACAGTCTCTTGTATATTGATTTTAATCTCTTTTGGGGTAGGGCCTCCAACATGGTTATCTTGGGATTCCCTCACAGTCCATAACAGTGTCTTACAAATAGAAGGTTTAGTATAAGTTTTTACAAATGACCTGATTTATGACACTCAATCCTATTTTTTTTCTTTACAGTTTCCTATTTATCTTTTAGGACTCTTCTACTTTATGCTGCCTTAGACCCTTGCTGCTTTGCTAGATTCAGAATACAGGAGGTCATCACTGGGTACCACCCAAGAAGGTACACTAATATGGTTTTAATTCTAAAATAGCTTTCAATATTTAACACATATAACACAGAGTCCCGAATAGTGCTTATATGTAAGTTCTTCAATTTCTTATGAGATTAATGTCAAGTAGCTTACACAAAGAGGTTTTGTTTTTTTTTTAATTTGATAAATAGGAACAAAATCCTTATTGGTCCCATACTTTCCAGTTAAATCATTGAATCTTAAGCCTTTCTAGCCTAGAGAATGTTCTCAAAATAGTATCTTCTCTCTTTGTCAAAGAAAGAACCAAACTTCAGAGAAGCCATCAGTGAACTGAGTTGCTATCCGGTGAGCACAGTGATATAGAGAAGTGGAAATACAAAAAAGATATGGAATTATTCTTGTCTAAAAGGAAATTTAATGTAATCTTGGGAATGAAATCATAAAGAAATGAAACATTTAGAAAATACAGTACACAGATCAGCAGGACGGCCGAATAAGAAACTCCAGCTATTTCTTCCTTAGGGAGACACTAACTCAACAACAATACACAGACCAAATCCTTCTGTGAGAAATGAATAGACTGAGTTAAGAAGCACTTGTACCCTAGGTGAGTATGAAATCAGCTGTTATCGCAGATGGAAGGAAAAGTCTGTGGCACTCACTGGCCAAAGCTCTCCCTCAGACTCAGTGAGGCATAACTGGAAGTAAACTTCCAGCTCCTAGTTTCTCTCTGGGGAGGGAAATAGAAGAATGAAACATATATACTATGTGCAGACTTTTCGGGGCCTGTTCAAGGTACTGGTTTCTGTCTTGTCTGAATCTAAGTGCTGACAAGAAAGTGTGCTAGGTTTGAGTCTACTGAGATCAAAGGCAAAGGTTTAGACTGGCATGAATTCACTCACTGCAGATGTCTCCTGCAGCTCAGTGGGAAGGATGGGCAAAACCCCCATAACTCCTGACTTCTCTCTAGCAATGGAAAGAGTTGGAGTGTGCAACCAAAATAATGTCTTTTCAGGAGACTGAGTGAAGAATGAGTTTGTCTCTCCTGTCTTGGAATCCTGATGGGAGTTGGCATACTTTAGATGCCTGGCCATCACTGAAAACAAAAGAGGGCTGGATGGTGTGTTTGCTGCTCCAGAGGACCACTGATACAGCGAACTGAGGCTGATACAATGTGGTGGCTTCTTACTGGGGCCACAGCAGGGGGGCAGGGTAAAGAAGAGTGGAACATGCTTCTAACATTCTGGCTTTTCTGTGGGTTTCCTGAGTGACTGGTTTCTATTTTGCCTGACTTGGACCTCTGACATGACCCATGTACTCTAGAAACTCTGGGGCTGCTGAGAACAAAAGAGAACTGGGTAGCTTGTGGTAGGTCCAGAGAACCTGCAGTACTGCAGACAGTCACCAGAGGCAGTAAAACACTATGAGTGCCTGAAAAAGAAAAAGAGGCAAATTCCTAACATAGAGAATTTACACACACAAGTCCAGAGAAGATACATCCACAGGTTTGAGATGTTACCAGACTCTTAGGCTGATTGGTGAAGATCTTTTCCTATACAGAACCAGTCCGTTAAGACTGGGAGAGACGTCTGTTTTTTTCCTAAAAAAATGTCTGGGAGAGATGTCTTTTTTTTTTTTTTTTTTTCTAAAGTGTAGATCTCACCATGAATTCTACAATGTACAGGAAGAAATGGGGAAAAAAACAAAGAAACAAATTAAATCTCCAGCAACCAACCTTAAAGATATGGAAGTACCTGAGAAAGAATGAAAAATAACAGTCATGAAGATGCTCAATGAGCTCAGGAAAATGAAGCATGAAGAAAATGAGAATATCAACAAAGAGAATATATAATAAAGAATCAAGCAGAAATTCTGGAGTTGAAGATACAAAACTAAATTGAAAAAATTACTAGAAGGGTTTCATCAAAAGACTTGATCAAGCAGAAGAAAGAATCAACAAACTCAAAGGTAGATTTCTTTGAGGAGCAAAAGGAAAAATAAAGATTGAAAATGAGTGAGGAAAGCCTAACAGTCTTATAAGACACTATCAAATGGATCAATAGATGCATTATGGGTGTCTCAGAAAGAGAAGACAGAGAAGGGCAGAATACTTACTTGAAGATATAATGACTTAATACACATGAGAATTTTAACTTTACGTACTCAAGCATTTTCTTACTTGATTCTTTTAGTTGGAATGAAGACAAACATTTATAGCTGAATTAAAACAACAAAAAGATGTTGAAAATTTCCCAAATCTGGGGGAGAAAATGGACATCCAGATTTAAGAAGTCCAAACAACTACTACAAGAAAGAACTCAAAGAAGTCCACACCAAGATACATAATCAAATTGTCAAAAGTCAAAGAATTCTTAATTCAGAAAAAAAAAAAAAAAAACTTGTCACATAAAAAGGGAGGCCCATAGGACTATCAATGGATTCAATACCAGAAATCTTCAAGGCCAGAGGGAGTGGGATGATATATACAAAGTGCTCAACCTCCTCCCCCTGCCCCAACTGCCAAACAAGAACATTATATCTGGCAAAACTGCCTTTTAAAAATGAAGGAGAGAGGCACCCGGGTGCCTCATTTGGTTGAGTGTCCAGCTCTTAATTTTGGCTTTGTGGAATGAAACCCACTTCCAGCTCCATGCTGAGCATGGAGCTTGCTTAAGATTCTCTCTCTCTCTTTGCCTTTCTGCCACTTTCCCCTGCTCATGTGTGTGCACTCGCTCTCTCTCCCTCTAAAATAAAGTTAATGGGGTGCTTGGATGACTCAGTCAGTTAAGTGTCCGACTTCGGCTCAGGTCATGATCTCACGGTTCTTGGGTTCGAGCCCCTTGTCGGGCTCTGTGCTGACAGCTAGCTCAGAGCCTGGAGCCTGATTCGGATTCTGTATCTCCCTCTCTCTCTGACCCTCCCCTGCTCATGCTGCCTCTCTCTCTCTCTCTCAGAAATAAATTTTAAAAAAACATTAAAACAAAATAAAATAAAGTTAAAAAAATGAAAATGAACCAAATAAAAAAAAAGCTGAGGAAGCTTATCACTACTAGCTCTACCTTACAAGAATGCTAAAGGGAGTCCATCAAGTTGAAAGGGTACTAAACAGCAACATGAAAGCATACGAAAATATAAAGCTGTTTGGGAAGGGTGTATATATAGATTAGAGCAACACTAAGTTAAGATGCTATCAGCTTAAAATACATGATTATGATTGTAAGATGTTCTATGTAAGCCCTACAATAACCACAGAGACACTATACATATAAGATACAAAAAAGAAAATGAAAAAGGCATCAAAGTATGGTTTATACACAAACACACACTCACACACACACACACACACACACAGGCATATACAAAAATCAATGAAACAAAGGAAGAGAGCAAGAGAGAAAACCAGGGACAAAAGAGCTATAAGACTAAATAATGGAAATAGCAACTTGCCACTGACTTATCAATAATTACTTTAAATGTAAATGGACCAAACTCCCAATCAAAAACCATAAAGTGACTGAGTTGATAAAAAAAAATTTAAAAAAAACCAAGATCTAACTTTAGTCTGTATACAAGAGACTCACTTTTGATTTAGAGACACATACTGGCTGAGAGTGAAAGAATGGAAAGGGATATTTCATGCAAATGGTAACCAAAAAAGAGAAAGAATGGCTATAGTTATTCAGACAAAACAGACAAGTCATCTACAGTCATAAGAGACAAATGACAATTATATAATGATAAACAGGGTCAGCTGACCAGGAAGATATAACAATTATAAATGTATATGCATTCAACATCAAAACACTCAAACATATGAAACAAACACAAAACCAAAGAGAGAAATAGGCCGCAGTGTAATGATAATATGAGATTTTAATATCTCACTTTCAATAATGGCTAGAACATCCAGAGAAAAGATAATAAGGAAACAGGGGAACTGTAGAACGCTGAAAAACAAATGATTTCTTGGAGAAAGCACCAAAACCATAAGCAACAAAAGCTAAAATAGACAAGAGGGACTATGTCAAATGAAAAAGCATCTGCACAGCAAAGGAAACAATCAATGAAATGAAAAGGAAATCTACAGAATGGGAGAAAGTATTTGCAAACCGTATAGCTGATATGGGGTTAATATTAAGAATAAACAAGAAACTCCTATTCCTCAAAAGCAAAAACAAATAAGATGATTGAAAAACTGGCACAGGACTTGAAAAGGCATTTCTCCAAAGGCATATAAATAACCAAAAGATATATAATAAAGATGTTTAACATCACTACTCTTCAGGAAAATGCAAATCAAAATCATAATTAAATACCACCTCACATTTATTAGGGTAGTCATTATAAAAAAAATAACAGAATGTAACAAGTGTTGACAAAGATATGAAGAAACTGGAACTTTTGTGTGCGGTTGGTGGGAATGTAAAATTGTGCACTTGCTACATACAACAGTATGGAGGTTCCTCAAAAAATTAAAAATGGAAGTATCCTATGATCCAGCAATTCCACTGAGTATTTATTGAAAAGATGAGGTGCCGGAGTGGCTCAGTTGGTTAAGTGTCCCACTTTGGCTCAGGTCATGATCTCAGGATTTGTGAGTTCATGCCCCATGTTGGGTTCTGTGCTGACAGCTCAGAGCCTGGAGCCTGCTTCGGATTCTGTGTCTCCCTCTCTCTCTCTGTCTCTCACCAGCTTGTGCTCTGTCTATCTCTCTCTTTCAAAAATAAATAGAAATATTAAAAAAAAAAGTAATGATCCAACAATCCTATACACTACTCACAGCTCATCATGAACAGTGTACTCTTAATCCCCTTTATCTATTTCACCCATTCACTCACCTGCCTTCCCTCTGGCAACTTCCTGTTTGTTCTTTGTATTCAAGAGTCTGTTTTGTTTGTTTGTTTGTTTGTTTGTCTCTTTTTTTTTTTGGTCAAAACAAAACCAATTTTGTTCTTACCATAACAATACACTAAACAGTTATGAATCTGTTGCAGAAAATTAAGTGCATTACAAAAGAACTAAAAAAAAAAAAAACGTGGGAATCAGAAAATCTCGGATCAAATCTCTTTCCTTATCACCATGACATTTGGGACGTGTAATAGTTTTATAAGATACTATCTTGTAAAAGAGATAACCATTCTTAATTGAGAGTGTTCTTGTGAAGACCTGATGAGATAAAATATGTAGCCATAATTTGGAAAATGTAATGTGCTTATGCAAATGTTAGCTATTCTTATGTGCTTCTTTAGGATGCTTGTATATGCTCAATACGAGAAAAAGCTACATAGAAAAAATGGAAATAAAATGAAATTTCCAATTCATTAGGGCCCTCCACACTGCCAGCTTTAATGTGCACCAAAATTAGCACTTTGGAACTCTAATTATACAGATTAACTCTCCATGATGATCAAATGAACCAGGAATTCTTTATCTTAAATGTATTTCTATAAAGTCATACTAAGAAGCATGTAACCAACCACATCATTAAAATTAAAAGAACTCAGCAAATTGCCTGGTCTCTGGAAGGACAACCATCCATCCTCTCTTCTTTCAATTTTGCTTCATCCAATGTTTCTAAGAAACATTCTCTGAGAAGGGACTTTTTAATACAAGCACTATAGCCTATAAAAATGTGTTTTTAAGCACTGTTTTGTATCTTGTTAATCTTTCTTGCTGTGTTTTTTATCAGGCATAATATATTCTATGCAAAGTGTGAGAGGAAAATCAATTTCTTGTTAAATTTAATAGAACTTTTATAGCGACAGGCAGTTATTAAATATATTTAATTATACCTAAAGTATCAGGGATGACTATTCTGGTGTTTTGTTGAGAGCTTTTACAAGGAATCTGTTTAATAAAGAAATATGATTCGTATTTAGTAACTTAAAAATAAGTACTTATTTGAAATATTGAGAGCACACTTGGTAATGTCTGGAACTGGATATTTGCATAACTACCTGAGATACATGGGATAACTCTGTGTTTTTCTTCAGTATTGGAGGTTTTCCATCTGCAGTCATTTCAATCATACACACACTTTGAGAGCTGCCCACAGCGATTGTGTAGCTGAAAGAAAACAGAAGAAGCCATTATTGTATGTGTTACTGGCAAGAACTGCATAACTTCGCACATGGATGGTAGGTAGTTCTTCAATGAGAGAGGTACTTTCTGGATCATAATAATCCTGAAATATGGCCTCAACCAAGTGTGAACATTTTAGGATAGATAAAAGATGTATTTCTTTTCTAACACTGAAATTTTATTTTCCTTCTCTCTTCTGTCTATAAATTCTGTCTATAAATCAGATTGAAACGCTCTCAGAAAGTTAATGTCCCCCCCCCAAACCAAAAGAGCTTCTGTATAAGTAGGTAGTAATAAATTTTAAGTGCTAACAGTGATCGACATATGGTCTCACTCAAATAGGAGACTGTTGGACAAGTAACAGCAATGTTAAATGATGCAAACCTGCCTAGGTAGAAATTTCCCCTCCCTGGCCTCCAGGGGAAATAGAAATGGAATAAGAAATGAAAGGCTGCATACCCTTGAGCAGTGAGATTACACTGTGATATAGTTATCAGAACTCAGAAAGCATGCTGCTAATGTACTGGCTGGTAGTGTGTCTCAGAGATAAAGAAAAGTATAAGGTTATGGGAATTTGTACAATGAATAGCAGAAATGACCAATACACAATATAGAGTGATGCAATCAGATAAAAAGGTACACATATTAAAATAATTGGAATAAAATTAAATAGAATTTTAAAAGACAACTCAAATATTAATACCCTGTCACTTGCCACATGTAAGAATAGTAACTTGTATTATTATGAAGTCTATTCCATAGAGATTTCAGAAATTCATTTACTAATATTAACAGTGGAGATTTCTGCATAGTGAAAGTATGATTTTAATGCCCACTTTTGCTTTTTTGTGTTTTCTAAATTTTGGACAACGAACACATCTAATTTTCACTTTCAGTTTCTACCAAATGTCCCAGTTTGCACATGACTGAGATGTTTTCCAGGATGCAGGATTTCTGAGTGCTAAAACCAGATTTATGAGTACCTCATAAACCAGGATCAGTTGGTATTTCTATGTTTAAATGAAACAGTCAGTTTTATTAAATATCATTAGTTAAATCATTAATTTTTTTTTTTAAATCAACTTTGGGGTCTAAGTTGAATGCAAAAAGCAAACCAAAACTTCCTGCCCCCACCAACCTTCCCTTGATCCAAAAAGGGGTAGTGGTCATGCTTGTTTCCTCTTCCTCCTCACCTAGAAATGCAAATCTGATATGGCCCTTTAATACATTATCACCTAGTTTTTTGGCCTCTGCTCCAGTTTATCAAGGTCACTTCTAATTCTGATCAGATAATGGTTGAAAATGTTTAAATTCTACAAATAACCTCTACAGTGTCCCATTTGTGTGAATTGTATATTGTAGTGATATATGAATGATACATGAAGCATATTTGTCATTAGAGTTGATATGGGCAGGTAGATGTGTACAGATGCTTTATACTGGAGATGCAGGAAATTGTTCTCAGGGAATGCACATGTCCTTATTAAGAAGTAGTAAGATCTCTTTTTGTTTGTTTCATTCAGAGCTTCTTAAAATCTAACCATGAACTTCAGTGCCATAGAAGGAAGCTAACCTACCCTATTTTGCTTTCTCTTACTTCCTTTTTTTTCTTCCCCTGACCCTTCCACTGAATGGTTGATTCTATTGTCTGCTTGGTTTATGCACTATTTTGGAAATCGATGCTCTGATTCCACCAGAGACTATTCACATGTAGATTATCATGTTCATTTTTATAATATCTCATTTTTGCTTATAGACCAAACTGTATGATAAGCAATGAAAAATGCTCTATAAACAAATTTAGACATTATGCTACATAAATCATATGAGGCGTACATATCCCGTCTGCCTCTCAAGTGTTGCTGGGGCCAGCCAAGTCTAATGATTTAAAGACTTCAGGATCATATTTTGAGATAATCCATTGACTGGCTGAGTGATCGTAGGCAAACCACTTAACCTTTCTTCCCTAAAGTGTGATTATCCACAGAAGGGAGATAATCATTCTTGGTGCATAAATGGTTAGCGAGAATCACATTATTTAATGTACATAAATCATTCAGTGCTAATATTAAAATCCAAAGTTAAAGCAATTATTTGCTGACTAGACAGGGATCTCTAAAAAGATTTTTATGAAAATAAATTACACAGTCAAGATGAAGTGTTCATCTACTTCTACTAATATTGCCTATAATGGGATTCAAAATCAAATACTCAGGTTGCATTATCTTAAAAACTAAAATTTGATGAAACAGACTTTTTTCCCCAGTGTCCTTAACATTTTTGTTCTTTATATTTATAGTCTTTAGATAGACTAAACAATTTGGCAGAAACTTCTGATTTGGAAAGATAATTTGTTTTTAGAACAAATTTTAGAAGAGCCTGCTCAAAGTGGAAGTTCAGAGTATCCAAAACCAAGGGAAGGGTTGTACGAATATAAATGATGGAGAATGGATTGTTCAATCAAGTGCTTTGATATAATTGGATGTGATGCAGTTCTTAAACAGAAGTTATAGAATATTAACTAATGGCATAGAAAAATATTTTTTAGAATAGGAAAAGAGGTAAAGACAGTTTGAGTGATATACCATTTTTATAAAAATATGCATAGAGATAATACTAGATCTACATTTGTTAATATTAACAGTTAATATTTCGTTGGTTAATATTAACAGTGGCTATCTGTGCATGCTGAGAATGAGGATGATTTTGAATTTGTCTTTTTTTGCCTATTTGTATTTTCCATATTTTGGACATGGAACATACAGTAATTAAAAAAAAAAATTCTCAAAAGAAAAATTCAGTTTTGGGGCGCCTGGGTGGCTTAGTCGGTTAAGCGTCCGACTTTCGCTTAGGTCATGATCTCGCGGTTCGTGGGTTCGAGCCCCGCGTCGGGCTCTGAGCTGACTGCCAGCTCGAAGCCTGGAGCCTGTTTCAGTCTGTGACTCCCTCTCTCTCTGACCCTCCCCTGCTCACGCTGTCTCTCTCTCTCTCTCTCCTAGAAATAAATAAAACATTTTAAAAAAAAAGAAAGAAAGAAAAATTCAGTTTTATAAAAAAAAAACAAATTCAGTTTTTATTTACAAAAGAACAAAAAAAATTTAGTGACATTTTTGTTCTCCAAGATTTCATGCTTGCTTTCCAGGTAAACTATCTTTCTGCTAGGTATGTTGACCCTTGAACAACACAGGGTTAGGGGTGACCGCCTCTGCCCTGCATAGTTGAAAATCCACATATAGCTTTTGAAGCTTAACCAAAAGTCTTACCGATAACATAAATGGCCAATTAACATATATTTTATAGGTCATATGTGTTATATACCGTATTCTTACAATAAACTAAGCTAGAGAAAAAATGTGATCAAGAAAATCATAAGAGGAAATAACATAAATTATTGTCATATAAGTGGATCATGCAGTTGAGACCCATGTTGTTCAAGGATCAACTTTATTGCTTTCTGACAGCCTCTGAAATCTCTTCTTCAAGAGCTTATGTTAGACATTTTTCAGAAGCCTATTAAATTGTTATTTAATTGTATTAAATTCTAAATTTCTTAATTTTGCTTTCACATCTTCAAAATACTTCCTTAATTTCTCTGCCCTGTATTCATTCTAGGCACCCATTTTTTCTTCAGCAGTCTCCAGGACCATTATTCAGACCATTATTCTGACCACTGAGTTTTAAATTCTGATGAATATAATCTTTTATTCCTTAGGATTTTGAATCTTTTTCATAATTTTTGTTTAATTTATGCCTGCTTTTCCTTTATAGATTCTCCTTTAAGATGAGTTATTCCTTCAGTGATGTTTTCTAGCATCCCAGAAATACTTAAAGTTTTTGTTAGACATTTCCATAAAAGTGATTTTATCCAGAGTGGTTCATGTTCCACTTGCTGATTTCCTTGGTTCCTTTCTTAACATTGCTGTATGTTCTGATCCTGTGCTGTGCTGGTTCCTTTTCAGTGAGAAGCATTTTTTTCTCTCTTTCTCCCCACTTCTGTTTTCCTTGTTATGCTCATCTGATGTAACCCATGTCTGCTTGCCCAATGAGAACCCTACCTGACCTTCAGAGCATCTATATCTGAATCTTGGATTATGTATATTTGGCAGTTTTGTTCTATGGTGATATTGAAGGTATCCATCAGTCCATTCAAAACTGAAAAGATTGCTTGGTACAGTTCTCCTCATGATGCTTGGTCTTCTGTCTTCTTTCTAGGCTGGTAGTTTGCTAAAAGTCAGAATCCCAGAGGTCAGTCTCTTTTTTTCTCTGTGGATAGATAGATAAATAGAAAGAAAGAAAGACAGAAAGACAGATAGATATATAGGTAGGTAGGTAGATAGATAGATAGATAGATAGATAGAGATATCACATGTATATTTGAATGAGTAGTTTAAGTCCCTTAAGGAGCTGAGCTTCCCTGTTTTTAGACCCAGATCTTGGCAGGCCTGCAGTCTTAGCTTTTGATGCTTTGTATTTTTGTCTGTTTCTTATCTGGGGAGATATTTATCTTGGTTTTGAACTGCTTTTATGTTTTCAGTTGTGTATATTAAAATTTTCTATATTCTTGCTATGTGTTTGACACTAAGGAGGAACTTCAAAGTGTGATGTTACAGAGTCATCTTGATGAGAAGTCTCACTTTTTTTACAATAAGAAAAAAACAACAATAAGGATCAAATCGAGTTCTAACTTTTTAAAAATGTTTTTTTTAATTGATTTTGAGAGAGAGAGGGGGAGAGAGATTGTATACACGTGGGGAAAGAGAGGATCTCAAGCAGACTCTACAATCTGCAATGTCAGTGTAGAGCCTGATGCAGGGCTTGATCTCACGAATTGAACCATTCGATCATGACCTGAGCCAAATCAAGAGCCAGATGCCTAACCAACTGAGCCACCCAAGTGCTCTGAGTCCTAACTTTTGAAGGGCCTTGTAAATAGAAAGTTATCTTTAATCTGTGAGGGGCAGAGTGAAGGAAAATTAAACAAGCCA